TAAATAATGTTGCCCATTTTCCCATATACAGGTCTGTGGATCAACACACAGAGGACTGTAAAATGAGAATATGCAGCAAAAACACGGTACCCCTCCAAGAAGGCATGGAATGATAGGAACCTTATGCATTTTATAGCCTCTCCATGGTGTGTATAATTTCACTGGAAAATATGTGATCAACATTCGAAGAACATTGTCCACGTATTTCACAGGCTTATGCCGATAGTAAAAGTATGTCCTTTAAGAGTCCTAAACTGCTTGGACAGGTGATCGGCAGCTGTTTAATTCTTTAGAGTGAATTCATAAACACCATGAATATCCACTTGAGACCTAAAATGCACAAAGTTGAAGCAGGTGAGTAACCAACCTTGGCGAAATATCGCATCCTTGCTGCATAAAGGCACCCAAGGAAAACCAGAGACTATTAAAAATCCCAAATTCATTAGTTGATTCACTACTTTGTGTTTCTCTTCCATCTTCAAATTCCTCAGTGTGCCACTCGTAGGGGCTAAATCTGCTGACCAGGAATAAAACTACACTGACCCCAATGTAGGCAAAAACAATGCACATCCAGATCTCATAGGCTAAAGGATCAAGAAATGAAAACACTCCTGGTTTGGACTTCTGAGGCTTCTTGATCATGATAGATATCCCGAGGCTCATAAAGGGCTTTGAGAAGTCAATCACCTCTTCTCTCACAAGGGTTATAGTTAATGGAGCAATTGCAATATCAGCTTTCTGTAAGGGAAACAAAGGAAAGTAATAGTACCCGGAGTCATGGTCAGAAAGGAATCATGGTTACATCACTGGATCACAGGGGAAGGAAAGGAAATCAGAGAGATGGAAACAATTATTTCCCTGGTAGAATCCCAATAAAGAATAAACAGAAAAGCAATCTGTTCCCCAAGTATTCCTCCTCTTTGTGGATACACAGTATATACATCTGGCTTTACTATGAGAATTACACATATACACTGCATCTGTGCCTTTGCAGCCCTTGGACATAAGTTTGGCCTACATGCTTCAAGACAGATGAAATGCCTGTCTCACTTAGTCCACATGCTTACTTCTGGCTTCAACTTCGATCTTTCAAATGTTCACAAATAACAAGATAGGATTCCTAGACTAATGTGGGAAATCAACAACCTCAGAGAAAGATATTTTGCAGGGAAGGGAGGCATTCTGTCAACAACAGTTCAAATTGAATGACTTTATCTATGAGAAGAGCTATACTTACCCCATATACAAGTTCTCCAACCATCCCATTCCAAATTTTCGTGTCTGCATCCCTGGCCCCATACTTGCCATCCCCAACAATTGTCAACTTGTACTTGAACCCACAATGTTTGGCGATTTCTGCAGCCAAGTCAACACAGTAGCCCTCATAGCGCTCATTGCCTTCAAGCATTTCATGATTTTTCTTCATCATAACATATGGAGATTCCTATACGGAAAGACCATGCTTTAATTGATTAAAATATCTGGGTTAATTAGGTATTCTCATTGAATAATAGCATATTGTTTAATAATTACCTGTTAGCCAGAGACAAAGTAGAATATAGAGAGTGGACAACATTAGAGGAAAAATTTAAGCATAATAATTCCCAAAAATGTCTTTGAATGTCTATCATTACATCTCATTAAGATGGCTTGTACCTGGCCATACCAGAGTAAACAAGATACTCAAAATCACAAAGTGTTGGTATGTCCCTTAATCATGTTTGTAATTCTCAGGGCTTAGAAGAGCAGAAGAATGCTGCTCAGCATCTATTTTATTCAACTCTGGATTCACCACACACTTATTCTAGATTAAGGTTGATTGAGGTTACAATGACCCCCAAGAATGAGCATTCATCCAAAACCGTGTGTCACTGCTGCCTCAAGTATAAGGTTCATGTGGAAATCATGTTCACGGCCAGTGACACACAGACTGAAAGGATCATTGTCATGGTGATGTACTGATTCTACCTCCACAGGTTTCAGGTCTCACTTCATCTATAAGATATAATATCCTAGAATCATGCTATACGGATAGCTAGAGAGTAGCTTCCCCGTGTAAACACAGAAAGGGGAAGCATGAAAAAATGATTCAACACAGTCCAATATTCTCCATTGGAAAGTGACACCAACGATACTTGAGATCTCAGTGAAATAGTTCCTCTCAGTGGCATGATAAAGGAAAAATTCTCAAATGTCTAACTTGCACTCATTAAGAGATTTCCAAGTGCCTACTGATTTTTTTTATCCAAGTCTCTTATTAACCTATCTATATTTGCATCTCAATATTGTTAGGATAAAGAATCCGACAAAATTATAAACTCCACAGGTAAGGTAAATTTGTAATACAAAACAAAATGGTTTTATCACAAAATCATGTCCCATAATGAACCCCATTTTCTCCATTTCATTTCACCAACAGCTTATGATGATCCATATCTGTCTTCCAGCTATCCAAAGCCTAGATGTTTAAGACAGTTCAATTTTGCCTCATCTATTCAATCTGCATTGATTTTGCACTAGCTATGTGCCATCCACTGTGTTGAAAATTGGAGTAAAAAGAAGGGAAGTCATCCTTATCTTTAAGGAGATCATCTTTTATTATGAAGAAAGACGAGTTGACACATTATCATGAAATCATGTAACAAATGGAAAGATAGGGTTTACCCAGAATTGGGTGGGAGTGGAGAAGGGAAGCACCGAGGAAATATGAGGAACACTCTTCAAGACTTGTTCCCAATTGTACACCGATATATGCACCAGGATATGAATTATCTGTCAAGCTAAATTTTTGTCTTGAAAAGAATAGGGAATATTTTGCATGCTTTAGCTAGATTTTGTGTATTCCTTTTAATAGAGTAAATATGCAATAAATGATTAAAACACTGCAAAAGCAGCACAGCATTAGTTACTGTGCTAAAATATAAACAGTAAGTTCCCTTGGCAGATATTTTCCATAAGAAAACATAAAGTAAAACGTAGGCATATATAGCTAATTACCAAAATTGTGGTCACAACAACAGTCTTATTCTCAAGCCCAGAGGTGTCATTTCCAGAAGGAAGCTCAGTGAGGGTAACAACCATTTTGTCCACTTCACTCCAGTAGCCAATCTGAAAAAGGTTACCGCAGATAGAAATATGGATACGTGACCTTTCTATTAGCAAACTAATTATTTTCAAATCCACATCTGAATCTGAAATTACAGCCACATTAATTGGGCTAATTCTAAAAAGGTATATGTCTTTTATATATGTGAATCTAATAGAAATAGAAAGGAACCATAAAAAATTATTAAAAATGGCTGTCTCTTCATGTTTGCTTTTCATATTCTCTAAGAGAAATTGTTTGGGATTGATCATAAAGAAATGTAAATGAAATTCAAACCATGAATGTTTAGCCATAGCAGTTAAAAGGTAGATGTGTCGAACTGAACAGTTACATGGATATTTGTACCAACTATTTTTTGTCTTCTGAACCGTAAACTTTCAGTAATGGTTCTTTTTCTTCTCATTAAAGATTTTTTCTATTTCAATCTAAAAAAAATTGTAATGGTTCTACTTACAGTTATTTTTAAGATTACAATTCAGTATCACTTACCAGAAATAGATTTGATTTAGGAAAAAATTTGAAAATGCATCTGTTCCTGGAAGTGGTTAAACTCTATGTGAATACACTTCTCCAGAACTCTTTGGCAGAGTGAGATAATACTCACTCGGCTAACTCACCTCTCACATAGACAGAACTGCCTTTAAATTACTAAGGATTTACCTTCCGGGGCCCATTTGTTTTGAGCTCCATGATGTTAATTGTATAGTTTATTCTTTTTCCATTCTGGTCAAACTTTATATTTCCTGAAAGACCTTCAACCTGAACCTAATGAGGAAATGGAAAAGGAGCAAAGTTATAAATTTACTTCAACCAGAGATACAAACTGTGCAGATTACTCTCACTGCACTCAAGTCATGAAAACTACATTGGTAAGGTTTATTTCACTCTTTAACCTACCTTTGTGCTGTTAGGAAATAATATTGCCTGTATATTAAACATAAGGAATAATACAAGGATGCCTCATTTGGCAGGAAAAAAATTAATGGCTATGTTAAGTCACATTAATAATCATTTTGAGTGACTTACCTGTTTGAGGGCCCTTTCTATTTCTACACCTTGTCCCCAAGGGACTGCTGGGTTTGCCAGACAGTCCCCTGCATTCCCCCTTCGGGAGATTTCAATTCTCTGCTTCCGTAGGTTGCGGAAGGCTTCAGTCATCACTTGAACGGCGTCATAGGTCAGTGCGGAAGTATACTGAAAAGGATCACACCCATTTCATAAGAAGGGGAGACAATTCAGAAACTCACAGCACACTGGTAAACAAGACTACAGTTGCCCACCACACAATACCCTATAAAAATCCAAGAATTTAAACACGATTTCTGCATCTAGAAATCTAAGAATCAAAGAGAAGCAATACAGAATATTAGGACTATGGAATGTGCTCTTGACTCTAAAATTTTTCTATTATGTTAATATATCATCTATTTCAGATGAGACCTTTTCATAATAATTCTATGGATTTTTTCTTCTAACCTGTTTCTCATCAGAGCATCACTTTATGACCTGCTATGGTGATATAAAAAATTATCAAATTAGCAAATAAATATTTCTTCACTGTTTAATGGGGGATACATTTGTCAATGTGGAACGAACACAGATTAGTTTTTGTATTTTAATCTCTAATTCAACTTGGTGATGCTCACATAGATCTGCAGTAGTTTTATGAGTATGTATTTAAGTTCCCCCTGGTGACACTGGTAATCCACCAGAATCACAAAACTTCTTGATGTCATGCCCCCTTCACACTTCAACAGTCTATGATAACCGTTGGTTCTAAACTTATGGTATTCAGGTTCCAGTGGCACGAGAGAAATATTACAGAAGTTGGAGCCAAGCAGAATGATACTACATATGGACCAAGCATGGTCAGTGTCTGGACAAGTAATATTATGTGCATATATATATACTGCCATCTGTGAAATGTATGATACTGCTATTGTTAATGATAAATGACAGTTTGACATTAAAGCTTTACTGAATGCTGAGGAAATTTCTGTTGTTGAATATTGTTCAATCTGTAGGTACCCAAAGTACAGTGAAGCTGGGGAAAAAATGAAATTTTGTACCCTACTGATTTTGTGACTCTCTAAATTCTTGACACAGATCCAAAATGGTCACTCACTATTCCTGAAGAATCCTTCTTCATTCCTTAGTAACTTAGTTCTTCCATTTTGAAAAACGACAATTTCACATCTTTTTTCTATCTTCTCTAAATACCCACACGTCTACACACTTATCCTCCTATGAATTCCTGCTGAAAATCTTGCCTTACATATCATGGAGAAAATGGAAGCCATCATATAGAGCCCCCTTGCCTCTCAGCCATAAAACTACTAAGCTCCCTCCTGATATTGTTTCCCTCCTGAGATGACAATGCAGGAGGTGGCCATACTCCCACCTCAGCAACCTCTCAGTGCACTGATCTTGTTTCTCTAATCTTCTTAAGGACATTGTTTCTGCAGTGACACCCTCAATATCTTGTATCAGCCTTTTTTCTCTCTCTACTGGATCATCTCTATTAGTAATCTAACTGATCTGCTATATCCTACCACAAACATTTCTTTACAAATACAAAATTCTATAATATCCATGCACCATTTTTTAAAGTATTATATCAAACACATTGTTTTAAATCACATCTACTTAGGAAAAAACTTCTTGGAACAAATAAGAAATATCACATCAGGATAAATCTGCCTCATTTTTTCGTTTATTTCTACTCTCCTAGAGGAAAAATATTGATTAATTTGCTATCTTATATAGCAATCATTTCATGGCCAATGTAATTTTTACAATAATGTCTAAGTCTCTGAAAAGAAAACAGAATCTAAATTGAGTAAATTGGATATTTTTAAAAATGCAATTTGTATGAAAAATTATGATAATAGTTAAAAGCCAAAATTTTCATTGAGTCAACTTGCTCACATTACTAGGAGAAATCTATAAAGGCATCTACTAACTGGTTTAGAAGTCTATAAATGTTGATGAACTACATTTAAAAATATGATTAGGTTGAATGAACTAAAAGTATTTGATCCATGCAGCATATAATGATTATGATTCAGGAGCATGCGCATGCTAAGAAGCAAAATCCCTTCAACCTTTTCAAATTCTCAAATCTAATCAAGCCTTAAGCCTATTACCATTTTAAATTAAAAGTCACAATCATAAAAGCAAAATTCTAGGCTGAGAGAAAATCCACTGCTTCTGTATCCAGAGTTGCTTTTTGTTTATGTTCTGCATATGTGGCCCATTTATTTTTCTAAACAAATATGTTCACATTTTTGATTGGATAGTTAAATATTTCAGTTTTATTCTACCATTCATTAAACTAGATGTAAATTAATGTGAAGGAAACATGATGGCAATGTAACCATCTCCTTCTTTGAAAACAAATGCTTCATCTCTGCCCCGATGTTTATGTTCTGTGAAATCCCTCAGCTGAGTTGAGTTGGAAATTTATCTTTCAGTGGGGGGCCATTATGCTTCGCAGTGCTATATCACAATCACATCATACCCACACATTAAGAAGAAATCTGGGAAGTCATTTTTATGGTCCATTTTCCAAATGTGCTTTTTATTTCCTTTTAAATGTATATTTATTGAGACTTTTCAAAAAGGAAAACAAAATATGCATTTTAAACATGTTCGTTATGTCCAATAGTCATCAGACAAACCATTCAATAATATATTACTAGATACCAGAAAACAGTATTCTGACATCAAAAGGGTGGGGGCATGAAAAGAAATTCTATGTACATCTCATATTTAATGAATATAAAAGGGGATAAATAGGTTGTGATATAAAATTTTATGGGTTATCATAATGACTGCACCTTTTTCTAAGCATGTTATCCACATCATAATGAAATAGGGAAAAAAATACTCAAAGAAGTGTTAAATTTTAGGGACTATGAAAGTGTTACCAAATTTCCTATGAATAGCCAGTTTCCAAATTTTCCTGACACTTGAATTTAGTTGAGTGTAGTTTAGAAAGTATCGAATTTAGCATTGGAAGGCAAGCCTCAAGCTTAGTTCTACCATTTGCTGCTCTGTTGCCCTGTTGCCTCGGGAAAATTAACAGAAGTACTAGTGTCTAAGGTTTCTTAGTGAAATAAGGAGGGCAATGCCTCTTCCGTGTATGTTATGGGGCTGTTGAAAGGGAAGGTGACGGAAAAAGAAAGAATTCATGTTTACCTAGTTCTCTATGTGACAAACCAGAACTGAACAGTTTCTTAGAAAATCCTTTAAAAAAAAAAAAAACTGTGCCACAAACATTTTCATTCCAATTTTACAGGTGGAGATTCCAAGTTACAGACTTTTATTTCACCTGGGTGGGGACTGGTGGGGGTGGGTCACAAAAATATGTGAAAAAAGTGGAATTTGAATCCAGATCTCTGTGATTCTGGGAAAATGAGGGTGACCAGCTGTCCTGGTTTGCCTGGGACTGTCCCAGTTTTGCAATGGAAAGTTCTGAGTCCCAGGAAACTCCTCAGTCCCAGGCACACTGGGACAGTTGGTCACTTTCTTTGGCAAGGACTGTATCAAATAAGCAGATGTAGAGTAAATGAGAAGCTTGGTGAATTATAAAATAAACTAAAAATGTAAGTTATTGACCACCGGGTTTGCTTTCCATTTTTTCTTTTATTACTATCGTCTTAATGTAAAACTAGTTTGTTTTTACAATGTTTTGAAAACTACTATCCCACTCCACAACAACAAAGTTCTGTGATTCAATAAGTTCAGAAAATGATTCTCACATCAACATATTATAGTCCCTGAGAAATTCTGCGGTAACAATTCCAGTTTAATTTTGTTCGTCAGCATTGCCCAAACTACCTATCATTTTGAAATTTCCTTAATACCAATAATTTTCCATAGAAATAGTGTTTTGTGTAACATAGTTGGGAATGTTAAAAGTTTTATGGCCTTGCTTATTTCTAAGAAAGCATCCATTA